GATTTCCCTCCAAGTCAAAGGACTGGATACAATGGAAGCAAGAGAAGCCCAATGTGCCAGTAACAAGATCATTATAATGGTACGAGATATTAACAACTCCAATTCCAATGGAACTGGGTGATGCTTGAATGAAAAGTAGCATGCGTCTGGCATGAAGATTACGAGTCATGACTAGCATAACATTTGTGTAGTCACGCTGGGTTTTTTGAAGTTCCTACTCCGTACATGTTCCTGCATTAGCAAACGTTGCATTCACGAATATAAATCGTCAAACGAGATGTGAATTCCGCCGCCTCTGAGTGGTGGATTAATATGGAGTGAATCGGAATCATGATAACGCGCAATTGTCACGCTATTATCTCCATACGAGCCTCCCAATTCAAGACTTCAGGGGATCTTGTTGATTTTGACTCATGTGATCAATCACGTGAAAATGTACCCGACGGTAAATTTTTGAGTGTGATTATCTAATCGTTCGTGAAGCTCCAAGCTGTATTTGCCTCACAGATCTTGTATGACAGAATCGTCACCAGCCTGCCGTCAGACCTGAAGCTTCAACTGCCATATCCCAGGTTTGGATATGAGCTTCTTCGACGCTCCATCTCGGCTGGGCGCTGAATGGTTCTCCGTCGGTCTGGCCTCGTCGTTTCCCGACTCGGGGCTCGATGACGACAACTTGGCAAAATACAGGACGTGTAGTGAAGAGTATAGACCGGGATGCAAAGTCTTTCAGGTGCCCAGAGAAGACAGCTCGCAAAGGGCAGAAGTCTTGATTGATCAGGATGGAGATTTGGAAAGTTCTGATTTGAAGGGTTTAAAAGGCCAAGTCCTTGTATTCAAGTACAGGGGCAAATTCCATGCCGTTGATCATGTAAGTCCAAGCGCAACTGTGAATATCATCCATGTGGAAGAGCCCATAATGACTGTTGTATGAAGAAATGCCCACATTCATCTTACCCTCTCTCGCAAGCCACCCCATTTGACATTGAGGATTTCGGCGTTGTCTTGAGTGCAGGACTAACCTGTCCAAAACATGGCTGGTCATTTGATCTATTTACCGGTTCAGGAGATCGTGGAAACTATCAGCTTGGGCTTTGGGAAACTCAGTTGCGCGAAGTAAAGGGTTCGGATACAGCAGCAGACAAGGTTTCAGGTCCCGCGGAACAGGAGGTATGGGTTCGGAGAAAACAGCGACAGCGCATCGGATAGATTAGGTATGGCGTTGGGCAAGTGCATATAGACAAGGTTATTAATTATAAGCATATTTTGATCATGAGAGCGCATGGCATTCATGCTATTAGACAAAAGGCGTGCTCATACCACCAAACCCTTCCTCGATATACGTGCACCGAGATGCCAAGACCTTACAAACAACAAAAGCGAAAGACAGAAGGCGGAACAGTTATAAAGCATTCGATAAAAGAGAAAAGGTTGCTAGAGGATCGAAAATTTGCCGTATATCTCACAGGGATGTTTCCCACAGTATTCATGTGATAGTTTCTTATTATCCCAAACTTTGGGGCTATCCAGCATATCATTCAGCATCTCTTTGGCTATTGAAAGCATGAGCAGATGCACTGTTGTCCAATTTAGCCGGGTGATAGTACAAGCGCCGAATCGTTCTCTGCATTTACAATAAACAGCAGATCCATGGACCTTGGCACATATGGAGCGTGAATACGCAGTTGGATGCACATCGGTGTTAATGACCCTTCCACCTTCTCTCCTCCTTCCACGTTGCATGGAAACAAAACTCACAACAGTAAGCACTCTCTAAAAAGAATTGTATTGATCAAAAAATATGCAGGTGGAATCATTGAAGGAATGCAAAATTGGTGCAGCCTCATGATCATGCTATGAGTCTCTACTTTCATACATTTTACCGAAAATAACCATTCGGATAGTGAAATAATCCCTCAACGATACCGCCGATTCTGTCGTATACTCCTCTTTCAAGTAAATGTTGCTGCGCAACGCTACAGAGGAATCCGCCGGAGATAGAAATACGGTGGTGCATCTAGCTCCGTACCGTTCAAGGCTACATAACGCCCTATCTCCGCTAGAATCCGAGATGTATATATAGGGACCTCCACGTTGAGATGATTTGACAGGCGAAATTTATTTGTTCAGCAAGGTATTTTGCAGCATATTTCTTTGTTAAATACATTCCACTGTCACAAAATGGCGAGTGTTCTAGTAACCGGCGGTGGGCGTGGGCTGGGGCTTGGGCTTGTTCGTTTGCTGGCATCTCTACCAGTATCGACTATCTCCAAGGTATTCGTTACCACAAGAGGAAAGCCGTCGGAAGACTTAACAAAGATCATCGAGACTTCTGGCGGACGAGTCATTAATGTCGAATGCGAAGTTGTCGACACGGCAAGCGTTAAGCGTGCTGCTGCTGAGGTTGAGGGGAAACTTGGAGGGGAGGGGTTAGATATCTTGATCAACAACGCTGCTGTGAGTATTAACGCTTCCGAGTTGCACTAACTCTAGTCTGTATTAACAGATTGGTACCTCAGATGAGCGGACTTTATCCACAAGGCATCCGCAACATGGCTGCCGAAGAAATGTTGCAGGAATTCAACGTCAACGTCGCTTCAACACACAGGGTGACTGCTGCATTCATTCCTTTATTACAAAAAGGAAAGCAAAAGAAGATTGCCATGGTGTAAGAATATCCGTCTAGAGTGCACTTTCTTATTTCTTGGCTGACAATTTCAAAGATCATCATCTGCTGGTTCAATTTCATGGGCAAACCGGTACTCCTTCTCGCCTGCATATGCATACAAAATCACCAAGGCTGCAATGAACATGATGGCGGTTCAATACGCAATTGAATATGAAAAGTATGGATTTACCTTTTTGACACTATCCCCCGGCGTAAGTGGCTCCTAAGCACTCTCACGCTGCTTCATTTTCTAACATTCAGATGCAGTGGCTGAAAACTACCATGGGCGGCGACATGGCTGACCTTGACGTTGAGACGGGAGCCAAGGCAACATGGGACATTGTGAACAAAGCCGATAAATCTTACAATGGAAAGTTTTACAACATACATGTTCCAGGCTGGGAACACAACGAAGGCGTAAACCAGTACGACGGACTGGAAATCCCATGGTAGAAGAAGACTTGGGGAATTGCTAGAATATCGAATGGGAGGTTATGCTACACATCCATCAAAAGTCATCTTAAAAGTTTATTCTGGGTTGCACAATGGGCAGGACCCTGTTAACATGGGATGTACATACATTCCGCGTTCTACAAATAAAAGCTCACTCTTCGCCAAATTTGTCCCATATCGGATCTATATAGATTATGTATATCCTAATCTACCAAAATGCTTTTGATAGACCTACCCAATGGGCATCCATCATCATTCTCCTTTTAGAAAAAGAGGGACATGCCTCCATCAACCACAATATTGGCTCCATTGATGTAGCTAGCGAGCCCGCTGGCAAGGAAAATGACGGTGTTGGCTACCTCTTCTGGAACACCTGTTCGCGCAAGCGGAACAGCATCAAGAAGGGACTTGTAAAATGGATAGTTGTCTCTCTTTACAATTTGATACTGGCTCAGTTGAACCGTGCCATCTGGCAGCGTAATGTTGGGGTTCTCAATGGATCCCGGGGCAATGGAGTTGATTCGAATGCCCAGAGCACCAAGCTTGCGGGCATAATCTTTAGCCAGTGTCGCCTGGGCTCTCTTAAAGGTCGAATAAGGAGAGCCGGCAATGGGGTGTCGTGCTTCAAAGCCCGCCATCGAGCTGATGACCACAAGAGATGCATTCTCTGAAGCCTTTACTCTCTCTTCAAGAAACGGGGTCGATGCGTCGATCAAGGTGACCAAGCCCAGGATGTCTGCACGGAAGCTATTCTCCCATGCCTCAGCTGTTGCTTCCCCAATCAGAGGAGATGCTGTATTGAAGAGAAAAAGTCATCAGTAATAAAGCTAGGTGCAGTTTAAGGACCGAAGAGTGTAAACATCATTGCTTACCATTGGCAATAACTGAATCAATGCGGCCAAACTCTTTAGCTGCTTTGTCTACCCAAGATTTAATCTCTTCGGGGCTGCTGATATCAACGGCCGAGCCGACAGCACGGGCACCATTGGTAGCGCCCTTGAAGAGCGAGAATTCATCTCCCCGAATCGTGCGAGCACAAAATGAGACATTGGCTCCTTCGGTCAAAAAGGCTTCCACAATAGATCTACCGATTCCTTTTGATCCACCTAGAATAGGGTATTAATATAGCTAGAGATTTAATACGACGACGCTTATTACCTGTAACAAGGACATGCTTGTTGGCAAAGTTGCTGGAGAAAGAAGGCATCTTGGCTAATGAATGGTATCACCGTATCACGTTGGCGGTACAGTTTGATCTAGGACTCAGAGTATGTTTGATATCTTGTTGCTTGGAATCCGAGAAACGCCTTACGAAGAGATACTTGATGTATTTTATAAGTTGCATATCCTCTACGCAACACTCTATATAACTCATAGGCAATCCTCGCTATAATCAATATCATTTCTAATGTTCTAACTTATCGCCGGTTCTTTTAATAATAAAAACATTCCCGATTCAGATTCTAACCGAGTTTTTTTGTCTTTTCATAGCGAGAATAGGGTAACAGCCAGATGTGGGGGTGATGGTGTTTAGGGATTAATCACATAATAACCTCCGAGAGGCGTCTTTTCCGCGTTGCGTTGATCCTCATTGGCAAAATCCACCAGCGGAGAGATCCGAACTCCGCTAAATTGGGTCACTAGGATCTGAAATTGCATCTTTAGTCTCTCATCGAATAAACTTCTCACTCATGCTCTTCTTGTTAACTGTCTAACCCTTGTCATTGGACAAAGGAAGGATCGCGGAGTTCCGGCTGGAAATCAGCTAAACCTAGATTGGAGACCGCGCGGACATACGTTTTGGTGCAGCTGACGATTCCCTGGCTGACGTTCTTCTTTGCTGATTCAATGCTGCTTCTTCTCAGACGAATATCTCTTTAAAGTGAGAGAGGTGCTAACAGCTATTGACTACTGTGAAGACATCAAATACTATCAAATACTGTCATATCGAACATCATCGTGTTTGTTTAATATCTTCAATGAGTCGCTCATCTACTGAAACATGCTGGACTTGTCGGGTTCGCAAGAAGAAGTGCGACCGAAAGCGGCCCACCTGCAGTGCCTGTCACTCACTTGACATTACATGCTACAATGGCAACAACCGTCCAAGCTGGGTTGATAATGATCTCGAACGAGATCAATTTGCAGATCGAATCAAAGCGCAGATCAAAGAAAAGGCAGAATGTCGCCGCGAAAAGAGTTATGTAAAAGTCCTGCCGCTCGGAAGGGTGAGGAAGCCGAAGACAGATTCAGCTGTAGCTGGTCGCCCCTCCACAAAGACTCAGTCTAGGCAGAATATTCAAGCCCAAGAGGGAGCTCTCATGGAATTATCTTGCTATGGATGTTCCAAAAATGGCTTCTCGCCGCCTGAAAGCGGCCGGCCTGAAAGCCATTCTGACAACGCTGCTCTACTCGGAATCAGCAACGACATTGACACTGATCTCGAGATTACGTTTTTGGACTATGCTTTCCCTTTTCTGTTCCCATTCTACCGCCCCTCCATTTTTAAAGGAGGACGCGGCTGGCTGCTGGCAACACTGAGAAAGAGCATGCCACTCTTCCACACGGCCATGGGCTTCAGCACATATTTTTTTATTCTAGTCATGACGGACATCGCAAATGGAGAGCACGAAGTATGCAAAGGACTCGTCGAAGGGAAACTTATATCTCACGTGGATACCGCAATCAAGGCCATGCGACAAGGAATAGAAGATCTGGCAGCTTGTGGAGAACTCGCTTCGACCGAGGAAAAGGCGCACCTCATGGAAGGTGTTGTGCAGCTTTTGGTGTTTGAGACAAACATTTCAGCAACTAACGAATGGGGTATTCATCTTAACGCCGCAGTATCTCTTTTTAAAGAGATATTCGAACAAAATGACCCTCAAGATGGCAGCAGAATGGATCTCGACTCTGTATTAGCCAAGATGCAGAAAACTGGATGGGCAGCTGTGAGTTCGTCACACAGAATTTTTAATCCAGCTCAGGGGGCTTTTATGTTTTACGTGGCTGTCATCATATTTGCGGATATAATTTCTGCAACTATTCTTGGAGATGCGCCGATGTTGCGGGAATATCATTCTCTTCTGATTAATGACGGATGCAGACCAGGGGATTCGCGTCGACTATTATTAGACTTGGAAGATTCTGTGGGTTGTCAAAGCTGGATTCTCCTCTTAATTGCCGACATCGCTTCTTTAGTAGAAGGCAAAAGGCAGGGACGAGTATCACGGGATGATTTGCTCGTTGAGGGCAACAGGATTGCTGAAAAACTCCAGAATGGCATAAAGAGCCTCAAAGATCACCCGGGAAAGCCTGTGGCTTCTATAGGTTCTTTTCAGGCTTATTCTAACCCTGAAGCTCTATTGGAAGCCATTGACTCCACCTCGTATAGTCTGGTATGGGCACATGCTACTGTTCTCTACCTGTTTGTTACTACTTCCGGGTGGCAAGAACAGCACGAGATTATACAAGAGAATGTCTCATCCGCTATCCAAATTCTTGATAAAATTTCATCACCGGCAATTTTACGCAGCCTCGCTTGGCCATTTTGTGTCGTTGGCTGCCTTGCCTCCACTGACCAAGAAGAAACATTCCGAATAATTGCTTCCAGAATGGGAAACTTGTCAGCATTCGGCACGCTCCTTGAAGCGCTGAGGATTATGGGACAAGTCTGGAGCACTCGTGGGGAGAGAGATGTGGAAAACTGGGATTTCACTTATTGCTTCCGTATACTAAGCTCAATACCTCTACTTATCTAATGCTAATATGACTGGCCATTGCTGCTACTTCGTCCGATCTTAATGTCCCTTCCAGGCACCGACGATTTCGGCCAACTTAGTGGTCTTGATTTCGGGGAATTTGGCGTTCAGGCTCTTGTCTTCTGGGGCTTTTAGGCTGCCATCAAGGACCCATGAGGCGAAAAGCGAGAACAAGCCTTGCATCGCTGGCTTCGGAAAGTATGGATATAACGCAGGGTGAGAAGGCAATTCTGTAATCTCTCCCTTTGCGAGCTTTTCGGGAGGATCGTAGGTAACTTTGAACTTGGTGCCTTGGAATCAGTTAGCATTGTCCTGACTTCGATGAGATACATGAAATGGAATAACATACCCTGAGCTTCTTCAGCAAGCGCAACAAGCTTGTTGAATGTTGAATTTTCGCCATAGCAGTAAGTAATCTCCTCCCACTTGGGCAGACTCAGAAATGCGACAACAAACTTTGCCACGTCAAAAGTATAGGTAAAGGAAAGTACTTCATCTCCCGTGCCAGGGATGGCAGCAGTCTTGTTCGGCGGGTCTACCACGAAGAACAAAGGCTTCAGGTACGTCTTCACATGAGGCATACCGTAGTAGTCCATGAAGTAGCCGTTGGCAACTCGAGTCCATTCCAAGCCGGTCTTGCGAAGCTCTATCACGGTACTTTCTCGAATCTTATACATGGGAGATCTAGGATGTAGGAATAAAGTTAGTATGTACATATTAATTGGAAAGAGGCGAAAAATGAGGCTGAACTCACACTTCAGTATGAGGAGTACCCCATTCACTACTGATGAAGCGTTTGACAGTGCCGGATTTGCTGGCTGCCTTGACCAGGTCGACTTGGCAAACCCCAGAAACTTCATCAATCACGCTGATGGTAGAGATGACAACGTCCACTTTGTGGCTAGCTAGTTTTTGCGCAGTTTCTTCGACATTGCTGTAGTCCACTGCAACGACAGGTGCTTCTTTATCATTCACCTCTGGAACCTTTATTCTGGCCTTAGCGTTGATAAGAGCAGTAGTAATCGTGCATGCTTCTAACTTACCTTGCGAGCCAAGACGATGACATCGTATAGAGGGGACTTTTTCAACTCTTCAACGATGGTGCGACCCACGCTACCAGTGCCGCCGGCGACTGCGATAACTTTTGACATGATTGCGAATATTGGTGTTGTTAAAAATGGTGTTTGTGAGAATGTTGGATCTGCGTTTATAGCGATGTTTGACTTGAGGATGTTTTAGTTCCAAGTTTACGAGAATCTCATGACTTATATAGCATTGAAGACACAACAATTCCCAATTCTTCCATGTCGCATCGTATGATGTCGATTTCTAAGCTGCTCAATCCCCTTTTCGATTTATGTTTCATTTTGTCGCCTTCAAACGTTGTCTTGTTGAAGTCGCTTGCGACAGCTTCACCGCGCGGTTTCCAAAACGGGTAAAGAGGTCTTGGTACTCTGGATCCACGTCGTCACTCATTCCGCTGCTTTTCCTAAAAGAAACAAGGCCAATTTATGGAGTTACAGCTCGTTCCTTTTCGTCAACGTACTCGTACTATGTTAGCTTGTTGGATACGTAAGCCGGGCTGTGATTCTCAATGGATTGCGTTCATCCCACGTTCCTCCCGAGCTGAAAGTCTCCGGCTTATTCAGCAGCGAACGCACTTTTAATTTCTTCGCGATATCGTTGTAGATATGCGCATGCCCTAATTCAAATAACATATTTTCCAATAGTATTGGAGGGCTTTCTTTTCGAATCGATTTTGCAATGCAAAAGTGAACCAGCTGGGAATCTCCAAGGCGGTGGTGGTGAGCTGTGCCGAGTTGTTACTTGCTTTGTATGCGTTCGCCCTAGCAACATCTCAACTTTAGAGAATCTGTACGCAATGTCAATAAGTAATTCTCATCGGCATTGTGTTATTTACTTTAAAAACAATGTTAGACTCTTATTGAACCATGACTAAGCCTATACCCACCTCCGTGTCATATATATGGCTCTCCGCTCGTCTCCTCGTTCCTTTCTCTCCTTCGTCTTCTCTGAGCTCTGTATCCCTACTCTATTTGTCGGAATCTGTCAGTAGTCAATCGTCATGACGAACTTTACCATCAAAATCATCTCCGACAATGTCTGTCCATTTTGCTTTTTGGGCAAGGCACGCCTAGATCGAGCCATCTCTGCGTTTCGCAATGCCATTCCAAAAGGCGAAACCGACAACTTTACCATCTCCTGGCATGCATTCTACCTCGATCCTCATGCATCCTTCAAGTCGGAACCGGTGCGAGAACACGTGGCAAAGAAGTTCGGAAGCTTCAGTCGAGTCGACGCAATCCACGAACGGCTGGCGCAGACAGGCGCCGAAGAAGGTCTTAACTTCACATTCAAATCTCTAATCGGCAATACCAGAGATTCTCATCGGCTTGTTCAGCTAGGCAAATCAAAGGGCAATGCAATGGAGAACAAGGTCGTGAACCAAATCATGAAGATGTTCTTTGAGGAAGGCGGCGACATCACTAGCATTGACGATCTCGTCAAGGCTGCCGAGCGAGGAGGGCTGGATCCAAAGGAGGCAAGGGAATGGCTCCTTAGCGACAACGGGAAAAGAGAAGTGGAGGAAGAGGTGAATGAAGCAACGAGAATGGGTGTCACAGCTGTACCGACATTCATCATCAATGATAAATACCGGGTACAGGGAGCACAAAGCGTGGACGAATTCGTCAAGCAATTTGCTCGCGCCAAAGCTGCAGAAGGCGAAGCAGAATCGACTTACAGAGGGAAAGAGGACAATACATGTATGTGAGCTGATCTCGAGAGGTGGCAACAGCTAAGGCTGTCCTTTTAAAGTGTTTTATATAGTTTACTCCAATTATTACCCTTTATAGACATTCTCTTACATCGAAGGCTCTTCTCGAAATCTCCAATGAACGGAGCTCCAACTCGGACTGAGCCCGCGGGAAATCTAACCGCCACTGTGGGCTCAGATTTTATCTCCGCATGTGGTGGCCCCGGATTTTTGCGTAGTAATCGCCGAGTTTTTCGGTCGAGGAATCCACTATCCGCTCGAGTCCGCTCGAGTCCGCTCCCGTCCGCTCTCGGGTCGGCCCTGCTAGACAAATAAATCAAGGCAAATAGCCACGAATTGCTTCAAGAAGTGAAGATTCCCTCAAAATGTGGAGGAACTAAGATGTAACAGCGATATGAATTGAGTCATACCGAAGCCAGACTATCGAGATGGTCGGGTGATGAGGAGAGAGAGGATGTATGAGGTGGCTTGAGAATCCAGGTATAAAAGAAAGGCGATGTCCTTGCGATATGGTATGTTAAACTTCTACCATCGACCAAACAACAAGAGAAGGAGCAGCCGTTCATATCATAAACTTACCAAGAATCCTCATCTTCATAGCGACAATGGCTCCTCAAACTTGGCTTATCACTGGTGCTTCGTCCGGCCTCGGCCTGCACCTCGCCATCATTGCCGCAAAGCAGGGCAACAAGGTCATTGCCACAACACGCTCTCTGACTAGAGCTCAGAACATCACAGACAATAACATCCAAGTCGCTCGTCTTGACCAGAATGAGCCACTAGACAAGATCAAGGCTGATGTTGATGCCATTGTCAAGGTTCACGGCCCCATTGACATCGTCGTCAACTGCGCAGCTTATGTTCACACCGGCATCCTCGAGGATCTCACACCAGAGGACACATATGCGCAGTTTCAAACCAATGTCTTTGGTGCTCTCAACGTCTACCGTGCCATTCTTCCTCACCTAAGAGAAAAGAGATCTGGAACCCTGGTGACCATCGGGTCAATGGCCGCATGGTTCGCTCACCCCGCGGCCAGCATATACAACGCATCCAAGGCTGCTATCCGGTGGCTCAGTTTCGGTCTCGCCAGCGAAGTCAAGCCTCTGGGCATCAAACATCTGCTTGTAGAGCCTGGCCGCTTCCGAACGGAACTGCTGAAACAGGACGGCAACTTCAGAACATCAAACGGGAGCGACGGCATCGCCGATTACAGAGCAATCAGCGAAGCAGTCAAGGAGGGTATTGCTCGCGAGGCCAACAAGCAGCCTGGCGACCCTGTCAAGGGAGCTCAAGTCATCTACGACGTCGTGACCTCCAGCGGCGTAGCCCAAGGCAAGGAACTGCCAGAATTCCTGCCTTTGGGACAGGATGCCATTGAGGAAATCACCAAGTCGGCACAATCGGCAATTGATATCTGTCAGGCATGGAAGGAGATTGCCAGTTCAACAGACTATTAAGAAGCGCTATGAGATATGATGTCTGGAAAACAATTAGCATGTACATAGTTTAAAATAGAAATGACTATCCAGTGCACCTATAATATACCGTATCCCGCACCCCGTCTCGTAAATTTAAAGGTGATATACTATGCATGTATATATTGATACTAATGGATAGGTAGCAGCAGGAAGCATCGACACAAGAAGAGAGTTGCAGTCGTACTTAGAGAACAATTGGTAAACATTTTAGAAGGCATTCACCTAACCAAGGTTCTGGATAGCTATTCTTCCTGTTGTTGGTGAAATATATGTATATACTACCATATATACTACCTTATATATATCAGCTGATAAGATATAGATATCGCATCATTTTGCCGAGCATAGGTACGTGCAAATGGCTATCATGGTTTGTTCACGATGCGCAAGTGCTGCCAATGTTGCTCCTTCCTGCTTCTTCGTTTCATCGAGTTAAGCAGGTGCACGGCCAGCTCATCGCAAAAAAAATTCATGTACTTATGGGCGCCCTTTCTTTCCTCTACTTATCTCTCTCTTTATCTTTCTCTCCCCCTCACTCTCTATTTGTATTTTTTTTTTTTCTCACTTTCTCTCTCTCTCATCTCCTCTCTCCTCTCTCCTCTCTCCTCTCTCCCGCCCTCGACAGCAGCTTGTATGACACCTGAGCCCACCGCATGTTTCGACATCCACTGCAATGGAGCACTTCAAAGATATAGAGAATGTGTGGCCATCAGACATACCATCTCCACCGCCGCCGCCGTCGCCCAAACCGTCGCCTCCTCCAGAGCCAGAAACAGAGCCAATTCCTTGTGAGCATCCATTTCAAGTGTGCTGCCATATCGACGCTAATAAATGAGCAGGGCAAACATTGGCCGCGTTAGAAAATAAGCGACTATTAAATAACCCTTCAATAATGCAATATATCGCTTACGGGGGTATGTATAAGCATCTGCCGTATAAGAACGTGGACTGGGACCTTAAAGGTAGCACTGTTTGCCATATTAAAGGAGCCAGATGCTATAGTCACGACTTTAAAGAGCCGGATAAGCTATAGTAGCATCTTAGAACTTTATACTACTAAGTGAGTTCGATAGACTGGTAAAATATACTTTAAAATCTTTATATATACTAATTTTAAAATAAAGTTTATAATGTAAAACAAAGGCTTTTTTAATTAATATTAGCTCTACTGAGATACTATAGGTAAATGCGCTAAGAAGTTTAAGTATAAATATTATAAAGTAATAATATAACTATGGTAGAGGTAATAAATAATAAGATTACACCTTTGTCAGAGATTTTAAATAACTAGGGTGTAATAAACTGGTGCCTATAGGTTAGTATAGGTTAGCTATTCCCAAGGGATAAACTTTAGAATAGTTCTATAGTTTATATTAGTAAAGCAATTAAATTAGTAATAGATAATTTTATTATTAACTATAAAAAGAATATTTAAATATTTAATTTAAGTATTATTATATTAATAATAATTAATTATTTAAATATTTTAATAAATAATATAAAATAAACTTATATACTTAGTTAATTAAGCTAAATTATTTATAAAAGTTAATAATTTTATTATAAATTATTTTATAATTTTAATAATTTATTTTTAATTAATTAATTAATCTATTATTTATTTAAAATTAATTACTTTATAAATTTATTATTATAATTATAAAAACTAAATTATAATATAATATTTTTTTTTATTAATTTTATTTTTAAAACTTTATTTATTTAAATATAAATAACTTATTTTTACTTTATAATATATTCTTTATTATTTATTATTTATTTTTTTTTATATATATTAATTTATTTAATAATAATAAATTCCTTTATTAAACTATTAATTTTAATTTTTAACCTTAGTTATTACTTTTAAATAATTACATTAGAAAATACCTCTTAAATATAAGTTCTTAACTTTAGTAAATTAGCTATTAGAAAATAAATTATAGTAATTTATTTATTATTTAATTTACATTATACTATAGTAATAATTAAAAAAAAAAAAAAAACTTTTATATTATAAAAGTATATTAATATAAAAATATCTTTATATTAAGTTTTTTTCTTTTTCTTTTAATATAGAAAGGTTTTCCTAAGTTTTTTTTATTATTTCCTATATTAGCTAATATACCTTAAATAATTTATATTTATATTATAGGAGTAATAAATTAAGTATATAATTAACTTAAGCTAACCTTTTTGCCCATAAGGGATTTTATTACTTATAGCAAAGTTATTAATAGTAAACAAATAAATAAAGAAACAAATATACTAATTTATAATAAAAGACTATATTATAAACTAATACTTTTATAATTATAATAATAGGCCTATAGAGTAAATACTTTAAATAAAAAATAAATTATTTTATTTATTAAATAAATATTTATAATATAATAAATAAATATTTAATAAATAAAAACCTAATTAAAAAAATATTTATTTATAATAATATAAATATTAAGTAAATATTTAATTATATATTTATTTTATAATATTTATTTAAAATAATTTAAATAATTAATTATAAATATAAAATAATACTTAATTATATTATAAAACATATTATTTATTAATTATATAAATAAACTCTTTATTTTTATTAATTATTTATTAATTTAATTTGGCTTATTTACTAATATAAACTTAATATAAAGTTTATCCCTTAGGAATTCCTTTTATACTAACTTTATAGAAACTTAGTTTATTATAAAATATTTTATTTATTTAATTAGTTATTTTTTATATAATTTTCTAATATTTTTTAAAGGCTTTTAAAAATTAGTTTGGTTTTGGAACTAAAAGACCCACCTTCCTAATTAAGTTAAATATAGCCCAAATAGCAAAAAGTTACAGCCCAAATAGCAATACTTAAATAATAAAAAAGAATTTTTAAATAACTTTAAAAAAAAATTAAATACTTAATAAAAAAAAATTTTTTTAATTTTAAATATTATTAAACTTTATTAATATTTACTTTTTTTTAAAAATAAAGTAAAATACTTTTAAAATTATATATTATATAAAATTATTATAATAAAACTATTCAACCCGGGCCTAAGTAAAATAATATATATTACCTAACGTTAGCTTATTAAAGATAATATATCTACTACGTAGTAAGTTTATCCACATATATATAGAAGTATAGAATTATTTAGTATTAGATTTAGAAAATTAGTAGTCTAAATAAAGTAAGTTACTACTTAAATAATAAGCTCCCTAAAACCATTAGCCTATATATTTACATTTCCTTAAATTAAACTTAGAAAAGTAGATATAATATTATATTACAGTAAATATAGCAATATTTTATAAATTATATATAAACTTTTTAATTAATTAAATAATAATTATATTATTACTAAATATAATATAAAAGCTTTATACTAACGCCTAGTACTATAGGTATATTCCCCTGCCTATAACCTTTATATATAAAATAAAAAACTACGTAGTAGCTAAAGGGGCTGTCCTACCTAAATCTTAATACTAAAAGAAAAATCCCTATCCTAAGGATCGAAAATTTAATCTTAATTATAAAACTTTTTAATTAATAAATAGGAAAAAGCAGCTTGTATATACCCCTTAATTTTTTTACCCCGAATCTAAGCCTTTTACTTAATAGCCTTCTGGTTGAAGGGAGGTGCGCCTAAAGCACCCCCTTCCTCGCTACTATCTTACTCTCCTCCATTAGCAGAGGCGGTCTTTTCTTCATTAGTCAGATCGACTTCTCCTCCAGCAGCAGCTTCAGCGGGCTCCTGCACGGTATTACGTACGACTTCAAGTTATTCTTAAGCGGCAGTGTCGTTAAAATCGCCTAGTGTAACAGCGGCGTCCTCGGTGTCCGAAGCGAAGTCCAGGTCCTCGTCTTCCAAAACCTCACCATCAGAGTCGTAGTCGTCTAAAATCTCGATTTCCTCAGTCAAAGCCTTCTAGCGCTCTTCCATTCTACAACGGTAAAATTTCACTTACTCTCCTTTTGCCTTCTTAGCCTCTTCAATAAACTTTATAAGCCTTATCTCAAGAACTACTTAAAGCCAGCCTTTAGTAAAAGTAAGCTACTCCTCGAAAATACTTATAAGCTAGCTAGCAACCAGGTCTAACATAGCAACAGCTAGGTAGTCGTTATACTTAGTATAGTAAAGTTATTTATTAGTAATTAGAATAAGTTTCATAATAAGTAAGTAGGCGTATCCTAGCTTAATAGCCTCCTTAGAGTAGTAGTCTATTTACTTTCCGTCTCGCTTAGCTAAAATAACCTAACTGTAGCAATTAAACGGTTAATTAAAGTAGGAACGGATAAGCTTATATAACATAAGTTCACGTAAAGCTCCCGTTATCTATTCTAGCAAGCTGCACTCAGCAGAAAGTTATTTAACCTATTTTATTAAGAGTATACGCTCTTAATAGTCATAAAATAAATCTTTTACCTTTATATTGTGCTATATAACGGCCTCCTTCTATCCTAAATAGTTAAGATAACCGTATACCTATTAAAGTGTTTTAGCGTTAAAATAAAACGTCGCCAGAATTCCTTAGCTGTATACATAATAAAGGTTAACACTAGTCAACATAATATTAATATTTGCAATAAATATTTATATATCGGACTTAGGGTCAGAGAATAACTAAATAGCAGTGAGTTTAGCTAGTGGCTTATCTAAAGAACAGACTGTTACAGTCTTATAACCTGCCATAAGGAGGGCGCCCAGCATTATCCTACACAAGGTTCACAAGTTAGTATATTAGTAATATAACAAGGGGTTTCCACTTAAACCCAAGTAGAAAGAGGATAAAGGGGCTTTTACTTAGATCTAAGTAGGAGACAGGACTTAGAGAGGTATAAAGAGGATAAAGAAGATAAAGGGGTTTCCACTTAGATCTAAGTAGTAAAATACTCTTGGACCTAAGTAGAAAGAGGAAGTAGTATTACTTACTACTATATTTAAGGCGTATTTACATAGATGAAAAGACGCCTCTTCTCTTCCAGTATATATCTATAGCTTAGCTTAAGAATATAAGCAAGCATAGGATTATTATAATATAGCCAGTAAATCTAGGTAGACTAATTAGTAAG